CGTCTTCTGAAAAATTATTATGTGGTCAATTCCCCTCATTAAATGAACTTGAAATTTTGTCAATCTGGAATATGACAATTTAGCATGTTATGTACAATGGTATTTGGTAAATAAATTTCCTGAAATCCAGTACCTCCTGAATAATCACACTTTTTGTTCATGATAAGTTGATCAGGACTACATATCACCTCTCAGTAAATAGTTTCACTTACATGTCCCTTGCCACTGTCCTAATGGACAAGATCCTCTCTAGGTCTTCCCTCCACACGTACACCTTGTAGGAACCAGAGTTCAAACTGTCATCAACAAGGACAACAGCTGACTCCAAGTCATTTAGGACATGAATCTTTTGAAATGAGTTCTGCAGAAAAGAAAATGTTGTGTAGTTTTAGAATAAACCAGACTTAATTGTCACATAACAGGTTTGCCATAATTAGGGGAAGTTATTGCTGATGATTTATATTATCAGTTATTAAACAATTATAATCTCTTAAAATCTCTTAATATGATTTTGCCACATCTTTGCAAGTCACCACAGTATGAACACATCAAGTACAAACCTCTTCTATACTCCACTGTTTTGCTAGAACATAACTGCCCTCAGGGGTGGCTATCCACAACATCAGCCAGTCTGCACACGAACACACCAAGTAATCCACTGCCCTATCTTCCGACTTATAGGAACCCAAAGCAATACTTGACACTGTCTGGAGACTGGGGTGCTGCAAAAAATATCTTATTTTAAAAAATCCAATGGCATCCTGGATCCAACTTCTCTGATACAAAAACAACTAATAAAAGAGTTAAAGAGAGTAAACATTGTTGAAAAGACATTAATAAAAATATTCAACAAATGTACAGACCACAGGCAAAATTTGGACAAAGTCATATTTTACATGAATAACAATTTACTTGATGTACCCAAATATAAAGGATATGCATGTCAAAATAATCTCTATATGTAAATCCTATTAAAACACATATTAACCTTCAACACTGTCTCACCTGGATACAAGCAGAGAACTGCAATGGGCAGTCAGCCTGCTCAGGCAGATTAGCCAGTTCCTCCTGCTCCCCTACGGGTTGTACTTTGTGAACATCAGGGGTCACTGTGTCCTTACTAGCAGACTTGTCACTGCATGGAGTATCACAAGTGTTATTTACTTTATCAACCTGCAACGCAGCTTGTTGATCCAGGTACAAACAGTCCTGTTTGTTTGACAAATCAGAAAAAGGCTGGGAGACAGAAATCTGAGAAAGTGAATTATTTGACATGGTAAGAATATGCTTATTGGATTCTGAACTTGATGACAGAGGTTTAGATTCACCAATGCCTAAATCTGCAGTTCTTTCCTTCAAGATGGGACGTGAATCATCTGGTTGTTTCTCAGAGTAATCTGGATCGTCCTCCGATAACAACAATGGTGACTGTAATTCCACACTATTTCTTTTACCTCCTATACTCTTTGATATTCTGGATGAAGCGCTAAAGCAGGGAGATGCAGATTCTGCAATGTTTGTATTGGCGACCCTTCCAACCACAGGTGATAACTTTACCTGCATATTCTCCTGAAGTTTTTTCAACTTTAACACTGAGAACTCACAGTCTGGAAGAGAAAAATACTGAATATCTTTTAAATGAGTTTTCATCTTAAATCTGTCTGGGACTCCTGGAAAGACAATTCCATACATGGGCATGGTCTGTTGGTCACATTCTGTATAGAGGGGAGAGCTTCTGCCCAATTTATTCATGGCATTTCCTTCACTGCTGATCTTTTCATATTCAGGCTTGCCAGAATACTGAAGTGACTTAGGACATGAATACAAATCTGATGAAAACTGGCCATCACTGTTGCTACTGGACTGTACAAAAAACTTAGTCTGTGTTGTAATACGAGGTGACCGTCTGCTCTCTGCACATGACTGAATGCTTCTTCCTCGCCCTCTTCTTCCACGTTTTCTCACTCCTCTGGTTTGATTACCTGAAGGGCGTTCTCCAACATATTCCAACTGTTCCAAAGAGAAAGTTTCCACAGGTTCAGATTCACATGAATTCAATTCTGTGCCATGAACATTGACTCTGTCACATGTGACGCCTCTTCTTCCTCCCCTTCTACCTCTCCTGCCCCTCCTTCCACCCCTGCCCCTCCTCCCTCCTCTCTGGGGGCTTGTATTTAAAGGTTCTGAGAAAGACTCTTGGCATGGAAGAGGAGAAGTGTCCTTGGAGGGCACTGCTGTATGGAGGCTTACAGGAGAGAGTTCCAACTCTGGAAACTGACATCGTTCCTTGGATGTTTTACTGGTAAGGGCCTGTGAATTTTTTGTTATGGAGCTAGACTTTGCCGACTCTGGACCCAAGCTGTTATTTGAGACTTCTGCAGTCTTATTTCCAGCTGTTGTAGACTGGGTGTGTAGTTTTGATTGCCGTTTTTCCATATCTTCAGCCTCTGTTATGGCATTTACATCTTGTGACTCAGGTATGACAATAGTGTCAATGGGTTTTTTTAGTTTCAGTTTAGTTTTTTTAGTTTCAGAATGATGGACTTCAGGGTCATTCCCTGGCTTAACTGGCCCTAAACTGTTTATTAACTCAGGCACCTCATTCAAAGCAGCATCACACTGCTTGGTGGCAAAACCATTTGGAGCCTGGTGCATAGGTAATGTAGTTGTTGATGGTGTATTTTGATAACATGTAACACTATTGAGCTCAAACTTAACAGCTGCTTTTGTTCTCTTAGATTTTTGTGCTCCTGTCTCATTTTCTGCTCTTGGGCTTTCAAGAGATTCTGCCACTTGTGCCTGCTCCAATAGCTTCTGTTGGACATGGGCTCGAGCTTTTGCTGCTCTTTCTGATCTCTGCAAGAGAAAGAGAATTATCTATTTTGAATGAACCAATGAGCAAATAAAATAAAAATTTGCTTAACAGATATTGAAATATTTTATCCTTTGAACTTTATCCTATATCTCTTACTAAAAGTAAAAATATTCAAGATTGAATGTGACCTTGGCCTAATCTCTAAAAAGGCTACATTTAATATTTCAGAGTTTCTAAAGAAAATTAAGTCAATTATTCTAATGCAAACATCAAACGAATGGAATAGAAGTGTCTTCATGAAAGTAACCGACTATAAAATTATACTCACTTCAAGTTTTCTTTTCTTTTTTTCATATTCTTTCTCAATTACAGCAAGCTTTCTTCTGATCTAGACCAAAGTAAGATTATGACAATATAATATATATATAAATAATAATGGAATATTACAAACATTTAAGATTTAAAAATATCTCCCCAGTCATTCCCTAAGTCCTCTTTTAACACAGATGTTTAAGGGGTTAACAACTCTTCACGAGATTAAAAAATATTCTACAACAAGTCATACAACAACACATAAAAATATAATAAATTCCATTTTAATGCCAAAACAGTGGTTACTGCAATTATTCTGGCATCTGTGCTTCCCATCAGACCACATGGGCTTTCATAGATGGCTATCCTCCATAATTATTTCCAAAGAGATTATTACAAAAACTCCACCTTTTCTTTTTTTAAAGAAAACTAGCTCTGAATGCATGTCAGATTGGATTCGTTTATCTTTGGAAAATAAGTGAAAAATTTCATTTACCCCAGGAAAATACGATTTATGACACTTTTCCTGCCAAAATGAACAGCTGTCACCCCTTTAATGTAATGGTTTAACCCCCCCCCCCTTCACGCATCTTTCTCTCAACCAGATTCCATGCACAAATTCTCTCACAATACAAAAAGGTGCAAATAAATAGACAGAGACATATCTGTAAATATTTAGTGAAAAAAATCTGTGGCCCTGGTAGAGGTTTAACTTATCCTCTGCTATGTACTACTGAAGTACAATTATTAAGTTCCAAGTACATATATGATATACTCTTACTCATTATAACTACATGTACATGTACTACTTGTCTGCTAGTGCTAAGTACTGCAGTTGTGTCACCTCGGTCCTCAGCTATTACAGGAAAAGCATTTAAAGTACGTCAGTATCATTTCGCATATGCATAATTTCAAGTCAATATTCACCTCTGCTTCGTCCATGTGTACTAAAAGAGCAGCATTCAGATGGGAAGTTGGAGAAATGAATGAATGATAACAAATTTACCGCGGAAGTTCTGCGCATGTGTCAGCAAAGAGCGCATGCGTCATCGTTGTAAGCAAAGTGCTTCAAGGACCGAAGGAGAAATATCATTTTACACGCAATATTCCTCACGGCGTTTACTCTGGGTTTATCTAGATGGTTGCAAAGAACCGGAAAACCCACGGCGTCACGTAAGAAGCGATGAGGATCCAGGTGTTTCAGCTTTTGCCGTAAAACGGCCCTAAAGGTAGCAGTGATCGGCCATTCACTGTTTTGTTGACTGAACACTGCGGAGAGTCAGTGACTTCGTGTTTGCTGCATGGGTCAGTCGAGTCGGCAGCATATCTGCTCACAGAATCATGAACTCAAGATTATTATGAGCTCTCCGTCATCTAATGGTGCCACAGGTGGTGCTAGTCTGTCCCCCACCCCCAGTATGAGGGGGACCAAGCCCTATGATTACCTGCTCAAATTTCTCCTAGTGGGAGATGCAGATGTAGGAAAAGAAGAATTGATGAGCGAAATGGAGGATGGCTCCGTGGAGTCACCTTATTGTGGTAAGAATACAGAAGATTAGGGAAGTGTGGGTGTGTTTTACAGGGTGCAGATTAAGCATTCGCCAGCTAGACTATGACTGTATTCTGCCTGGCAGATCCACTCTCCAGCTATGGTTATTGGGTTATTTCTTGTTATTTGGCATTTTTTTAGGTCTACCCATCCTTGCCCAACTCAGCAAGTAGTAGAAATATAAGACGATATAAAAAGGGTTTAGATTTTAAGTCAAATGTTTCTATGTAATTTGAAATGGTAAACATCAGACAGAATCCACAGTCTCGTGACTTGGTAAAAAATTAAGCAAGATTTCACGGGGTCTGGAGGAGAGTGGGATAAGAAACAATGGCAGACAGAAATAGTTTTCTGGGTGTCTTACCTTATATTTTAACCCATATAATGTCGATGTCTATTGACCCTGTTTTGGGTGCCACTTCTGTATTGCTCTCCCCATTCCAGCTCTTTCCCAGCAACACACACTTCAGAACAGCTGAGTACCAAATAACAGATCATGACTTTATTTAATGTGAGAACTTATTAGCCGTCAAAACAGAAAATGCGTGACATGTTTTCCTTGATTGACTCTTTTGAATGTAACCTCTAGGTTTAGTTGAAGTTTTCATTCCATCCTTCCTTTCTGTAATTTAGCATGAAGTGTCTGATTAGTCAATTGATTTTATGAAAATCTAATGCTGGTTTTAAGAATAATATTATTTGTCAATGCTTGTATTCACATTATCTTTTAATGTGATATAAGCCATGCTATAATGTCATTATCATTGACTATGTGAATTCAGACTTGCTGCAAAGGAACTCTCTGTGTCATCTGTGTGGTATTTTGTTTCAATCTCTGTATTATTTGGATAACTTTGTATGCTACATGACTGTATGATGGTTTCAGTTTGGAAGTAAAAAAAGATAAAATTACCAGACTGTGATAGCCCCCTCAGAACATACTGCTTCACCTTATTGTTTGATCATCAATTGGAACTTCTAGAAGCCAAATTAATTTGGGTACTTCGGTACTGTGTATTGGGTGGGAGGACAAAAGGATTAGATAGGCTTCTTATGGTGAGAAAGTCATTTAGTGCTAGCAGGCTAAAATAAGTAGTCACAGTATGACTGGTAGTGGGAACTTGTATAATCAGGCCTACCCAACTACCAGACTCGGCACCGAATGATCCTGAATTCACCGGTATATCAGACCACACTACTTGTTTTCAAGGTGTGTGTTAGATTGCATTACACAGTATCATACCCTGAACAAATTTTGAGTGGTGATGCAATGCTTTTTAACCCCGCTGAGAATCGTCACTATCACATTGCGTACAAGGCAAGAGCGGTGTCACGTCTGATACTGTGTAATGCGATCTGACACACACCTTGAAAACGGGTAGTGTGGTCTGATCTACCGGTGAATTCAGGATCATTCGGTGCTGAGTCTGGTAGTTGGGTAGGCCTGATAATGAATTTTTTTATTTTTTCGACTAATGTCTGTTGGTTTGCCCAACATTTATTTGGTTAATTTTTGGCCTATTTGTTGAAGTAGAAATATTATTATGGGTTCAGATTGTCTCTGATGTGTTTTATGGGGAGGCATAATCTTTTTGCCAAATGCTAAGATCTTTAACACTGCCACAGAAAACAAAAACTATTTACCTTTTATAGAGTGGAACAAGATTTCCCCAGGACTTTCGGTTGTTATGAAGGTGTTATAGATTGAGTGGTCATTAGCTGACCATATGGTCACTGAAGAAGTCTTGTAAGGGTTAGCCCCTTGTCCAAGCTGTCTATGGCTGCATATGGAAGGACAAACTATATACAAGATATCTTCACAGCCCATTCCATCGTTAGAAAATGACATAGAAGATAAAGTGCTCTTCTTTATTGCACAAGGATAAGTGAAACTAGCAATTTGTTTTTTATTACTTGTCACATTTTTTCCTTGTTGAAGTACTGTTGGAGACAATGAAATTTGTAAGTCATGATTTTTTTCTCAAGCAGTGTAGTAGCTGGGTGGTGATTATCCCCCCCCCCCCCCTTATGAATATGTGTGTTGAAATTTATCCTTGGACTTTATGTATGTAAGTTGGTGAAATTTTTAAAGAATGCAATGTATATTAATCATAGTTTAAAATTACACTTACAATTACACTTGGTTCTGTGGGTAACAGGGTTATTTTATCGTCCGTCGACAACATGATTCTATGGGGAGAGTAGAGTGAAAAAAAGATTGACTAAGAACATGGTAAATTGGTTGTGTTCTTGATGCTACACTGACTTTCCTACATTTACACACTTAAAAGCATTTTGAAATGGCAAATATGCAGTGGGTTATACTTAGTGGTATATTACCTCTGCTGCTAACCTATGCATGTAATTACCACCTTAGCCAGTGTTATGAATCTTCAAGTAGAAACCATCTGATTGAGTTAAGAAGTGAAATAAACAGTGGAAAGAAAATCAATTTCAATCTTATGTCGGCTGAGTAATGGTCCTCTAGGGAAGTGATCTTCACTCAGCTTACAAATGTGAAGAGACAGGGCTCAGTCTTCTCCGCAACCTTGATAATCCCTCTCCACCAACCACCGCCACTCGGCCTAGGTATTCACACTACACCCTAACTGCGATCTCATTTAACCCAGCTAAAAGATGTATCTGAAGTGTCATGTACCGGCCCAACCTTGCTTTGCTGAGTGATAGATTTAGTCCATGCAGCTGGACGACTGACTCAATATCTTGTGTTCAGAATTCTTGCCATTGCTGGAGAAAAGATGGTGGTTGTATATATATGTATATGGCAGTAATGAATGTGGTGGTGTGTTTGAATATACTAGTAGTTCCTATTTAAAAAATCTTTGGGATTAAACTTATTTGAATTTTGGTATTTTAAAACCAATCATATTTTTAAAAGTGCCATAAAATACTCTTTAGCCAGTTACACATGTAATTTGGAAGGTAGTGACCTTCATCAGCTAAAATATATATATATGTTCTTGATTTGATGCTGAGGGCAAAAAAGAAATAACCACAATTACATCAGAATTTTTTCTTATGTTTTTATTGCATCATTTTAATTCATCACAGAAAAAAATCAAATTGTAGATGTATGCATAAAATATGTTACAAAGAGAGAGTAGTTGAATGATAATAGTAAATCACCCAGTGTGACTAACTCCACCCCATGCAGTGACTGTACTTATGAGTTACTTCTAGTCTGGGTCCAGGTACTAGTACACTCTCTGAGCCCTGTTTCCTGTCTTTAACATCCATCTCAGGTATGAACAACCTCAGCCATGTTGTTTGTGTGAGGGCTGGAATGCTTGTTATTAAACTTGGTTGTTTTGAGAGCTGTGGCTGGAATGCTCTGGGTTAGGAGCATGGTATAAATGATTCAGTCAAACCCAGCAGCATTTTTACAGGCTTGAATTGAAAACTTTATCAAAAGGAAAAATAACTTCTGATAATAAAGCAAATATGCAATTCACAAGTAGGGCATCAAATTTATCATAAAGAGTGCATAGGGCATAAATTGTTCGTTTTATGATAAACCATAATATGATATTTGGTTAATTCAATTATCTTATTTAGCCATTGTATGAGTAGTTTGTCAAAATGGGTTATTTTATGAACATTGGAAGCATGTCATCAGTAATTTAATTGGTGAATAGATAAAAGTATGTTTACCTGAATAAATTTGGTCATTAAACAAAAAAAAAAAAAAAAAACATCTCAACTGACCAGGTGGTTGAATTAATTAAATTACTCTTGTGTTCCTGAATGTTTTAGAAGCTGAAATAATGTGTTCAATAAATAATACATTTTCATCATTCTCTGGTTTTCCTTCCAAGTTCATGTTACTTGTTAAACTGATCAATACTGTGTGTCCCAGTAGTGACAAACAGGGCTTATTTAGAAATAAAGATACATTACCAAGTAAGATTATATCAATTAGTTACTTGGTAATTCCCATGCTAAAGGAAATTAGATAGATGTTTATATAATATTTTTTGTGTAATTGAGTTAAACCCTGTAAAGCATTTTCCAATATTGCAAGTTTTGTGCATTAACACTAGTGAGTGATATAATATATGAAAACCTGTGTTTTTTCAAAAAAATTCATGGGCACTATTTTCTTTCTCCAGGCTACAAGACTACCACCATCCTGCTAGATGGCAAAAGGGTCAAGCTACAGATATGGTAAGCATGCTCAGGCCAGTTCAAATACGTATTCACACCAGGTTTGATTTTAATCTATTGAGGGTGTAGCATTAGATCCCAACTTCCAAAAAACGCTCTCCTTCCAGTCACTTAGCTATTTGATGCAGACTCCCTAGACACTGTAGTCAGTGTAATGTAATCTGATACTTGATACCTGCCCCATCTAGCTCCCCTCTCGTATTGACTTCCATTTGTTATATTATTCGACTCTCAGATAGAACGAAAGTGAATAAGGGGGGATATTGGGAAAACATTGTCAGATACTGCATTATAACCAGACAACATAGATCTCAAATCCTACAGCACAACAAAAACCTCTCTGATCTTTTTATTTTTTGTGGTCCATTTTTTAAGCTAATTATAAATCATTAATTTCTTAATTACTGAAAACAAATTTTATATTAATATTTACCAAAACAACGTTTGTTGGTGGTGCTAGGAAAAAACTATTTCCAAAAGAGGAATTGGACTGATGCAAGGGAGTAGAATTTATAACAAAAGTGTCAAATTTTGCAAAAATGACAGTGAAGTAGTCACAGAAAGTACAGTTTTGCATGTGCCTAAACAATTTATCAACAGACACCTGTACACCTAGCCATCACCTGTGTTTGCCTGTATTGTCACCATAAGAACAAATGCGAGAAGGATGATTTCTAAATGATGGAAGTAATTTAAATTTAATTGGTCTTGGTTTTCTCATTATCAGATTCTGAAGCTTCACAGTGGACAAATTGCTTGTGCTTGCATATTGCTCAAAACAGTAAAGAAAAATAACTAGCATTTTTTCACCAGTTTATTATTTTTAATGAAAAAATCTGCCACAGTGTCTTTTTAAAAATATTTTTGATTTTGCTTTGAGTGCCATTTTCTATAATATCCCTCACTGCTGAATGTTAACATAATACTAAACTAGTACCAGAAGGTCTATTTAATCTTGTCTGAATTGTAATGTTCAAGGCTAAGAAAGAGTGAGAGCTTTGAGAGACCAGACATAATGCAGGCTGTGTTACATAGTAAAGCAGGCTGGTAGCGATAATGAGCCAAGGTGAACAATGATGGTGATCATGTACCTGACATGATGAACAGGACCTCGAATATAGTGATACTGTTCCTCCCCTTTGTTGGCAAGTAAACAGTGAGCATATCATCTCTGGTGTGGAATTTCTTTTGTTATTTGGTAATATTGCAAGTAAAGAGTGGAAAATATTTTGGCTTGGAATTTTTTGTGTTGTTTTGTATTATTTTTGTGAAAACATACCATTTTGGGCTAAGGATTTGTTGTTTGGTTATATTGCACGTACCTTTAAATGTTAGGACTTTCAGGGTGTGATAATAAACCTTGTCTTGTTGCCTGAGACAAATATACGGAATCATTGAACAAGTAAAAACCAACTCTGGTTGCCTCTGTAAGCCCACATTGGCAAGTGATTTATTCAACCTAATATCAACTTTTTCCTCACATTTTAAAAAGAAGTGAAAAATTCTTTGCAAAGAATTTTTTCATGGCAAATCTAGTGCCCCAGAACCTTAAATATCAACCTGGTCTGATTGATAAAGGAGCCCTGTAGTACTTCTGTATATATTGTTTGGGCTTGGCATTATGGATCCTAAGTAAAGATACTTTTAAACTTGAATGTAATATTTTTTAGAAAAATGATGTGTGGTCGACTGAAATTTTATTCCTCACTAGGTTTGTATTAATATGTGGAATCTCCAAACTGTCTTCATAGATCCCAATAAGGCAGTCCCCAGTGGAACATGGTAACACTGGTTACCTTGTGTGTATTCAGAGACAGAAATTAAATGAGCAGTGTGTTGTTCTATCTGTTTACAGCATGGCCATTGTTTTTTTTAAACTAGACTGTCTATACATAATATAAACATTTCAAGTTTTGCAATTTGGCATAACTTACCTTCTTAAATTTTGGCCTCAAGAATTTGACAAAATAGATCAAAGGGCAAATCAATGCACATTGCAGATAACCAAGGATGTTTTTAAGATAAGGAAAAGAAACTACAATGTACTGTATTATCATTTTATACAGATCAGTCAGTGATACCAGAATATAACAATATGTTGAAGGTCCTTAGATATCAGAGATGGTCATAACTGTAAATTGTAGATAATTCCTCAGGCTTAGTATGACTGTTACAATGACACCATTATTCCATTAGACAGTTTGAGTTTACAAAAAGATCTGCATTGTACATCCTCATTTGCGGTGTCTTTATGAGGTCCTGCAATCAATCATTCATACACTTGAGGATCAATGGTCACATTCAGAACAGCAGACTAACAGATCCACGAATCAAATATGGTCAACCCACTTAAATGCCTGTTGCATAATCCCTGCAGGGAATCTATTCAGTGTCTTTCAAGGGATTATGCGGCAAGCTTTTAAGTGAGTCACCATATTTGATCTGCGGACTAGATAGTCTGCTGTTGTGAATGGGGCCAATGTTGCCCCACTTTGGGACCATGTAAATGTGTTAATGATCATATGAACATTTGAAAATCTATTTTCTTCAGGGACACCTCAGGCCAGGGAAGGTTTTGTACCATATTCCGGTCTTACTCCAGAGGGGCCCAGGTAAGCCTACTTTTATATTAAGCCCAATAAATATCTGGGATGTTATTCAAACCTCGTTTGGCTCATGTTTGGTCTGATTAAATGTGAATGAAATTTGAAATGGCAAAAAGGTTATCAGGCTATCTGACTTGGAAATGAATGGAAACGTTGTTGTCCTCTGTTACCGTCGAGGTTAGATAAAAATTGCTTTGATTATGGATACAATATTCTGGCTGATTATTAAGGAATGTCTGGTATTTTCTGACTTTGAAAAATGGTGTTCAGTTATTTTTGTTGTCAAGATGGGTGGATTCAGAATAGCCAACAAAGTTTCTCAAATTTGTAGATAAGATTTAAAAAAAAATTTTTTAATGCTTGAAGTCATGATTCTGACAAATAATGTTATTTTAATTGTATGTAATATAAAAAATGCATTTCTGTTGAATTCACCTGGAATATTTTAGGTGGATTGGTGGAATAAAATAAAAATGAGATTATTTTCATTTTAGGGTATTTTGCTTGTGTATGACATCACAAATAAATGGTCATTTGATGGTATAGACAGGTGGATCAAGGAAATAGATGATGTAAGTACAAGGGGTTTTTCCTCAATTTTGAGCTGACTATTATAAATCATGCAATAGGTGCAAAGATGGAAATACATTAATGTGCCACTGATAATAGAAATTTCTGATGGTCAGTGCTAGAATATACATTGATTACTATATTGTAAAATCGGTGCATTACTTTTACAGTTTATAGCCCCAAAGTGTTTTGTTTTTGATAACATAAACCATGACACTAATTAAAAAACGACAGCTTTAAAAGCTTTGAACACAGCAATTTGTTAATTAAGAAACATGCATTTTTTTTGTTTGTTTTGTTTGTTCATGTTTTGACTACTTATATAATAGTTCATGTATCCACACAGTAGACCTGTACTGAGTCTGTAAGATTACTGAAAGGGAATAAACACTGGGGAACTTTTTTTACTCAATACTGCTGTTACCTGACTCCTTAAACCCAATCATGTTTACTTCCACATTCAATCACTCCCCATGGTGTTGACTGCAATCCTGACAAAAAAGCTGTAGTGCTAGAAGGCATATTTAAGTGCAATACTGAATATGCCTTTTCAATATCTGGAAGCCTCCTGTTTTTTAAGGGGCAGGGATACATTTTGCTCTGACTGGCTATAGCTGAATTAAAGTTATGTGGGTGAATGTCAGTGGTTTCAGTTCACACAGCCTTTTGGAGGTGTTTTGCAAGAAACATGGAGGAAAAGGAAAAGGTTCAATTCTAGCCACCTGGGGATTTGTATATATTAATATATTGCAATTTTGATCCCTTGAATGTTCACTATGTAATTTTATGTTATAGGTGATAAATCATTTTATTTTTCTTGGGCTTGTGTACAAGTGAAATTTAATAAGATGTTGGTTTGGTATTGATTGCAGTCTGGTAAACTGTTCATGTAATAAAAAATTACTTTTTGAAAAAATTTTTGCTGGGATGATAATGATAAATAGATGAACATCTGTAAATAATGCATGTTGTGTCGAATAAGAACTGATTGATATCCTATTTCAGAGCTCTTTTCAGGCAGTGACCCTATCAGGCAAACAGGTCTGAAAATCTACTTGCCCCACTCCAAAATAAAACGATTAAAAAGTGTGTGTATTTGGGGGGTGGGGGTCTTTCTTCTCAATGTATTGCAAAAACAGCATGGTTTTATTTGAATTAAACACTCGCAAAATTTTGTTTTGCTTTTTAAAAAATATTATGTAACTTTTAACATAAATTGTTCCACTTACAGCGAAAATACACCATTTCAACGTTCTCCTCTACTCTCCCAGGTGTATGCTTGTTCTCAGTTGTAGTCTCCACCAGATTTGCCAAAATACTTCTTAGACATAATTAGTCGTTAAAAGTTTTTTTATACAAAAAGACCCCTGTGCATTGTCTGTGGGATATCACAGCCTATGCACTGTTGCTACATACAATAAATGCTGTTGTGAAATTTAGGCGAAAAGCTTTATTTAATCTACCAAAATATAAATAAATAAATAAATAAATAAATAAAATCCAAGTACTAGTAATATTGTATATGTGGGCAAGTGTTCGATTAGTAAGTCACTTGCATTTGCAGGCAAGTATGACTTAGATTCCATACCAGCTTCAGAAATCACTTGCACCATTTAGATATATAGAGCTCTGACTGTTTGTCATCAGAGCTAAATGCTAAAACCTATTTCCTGCTGTGCATTATTAATATCTTAAAGTGGATTAGGAGAGAGATCAAGATATTATGAAGGGCATCAGGGACAAACATTGAAAAAATATAACAAAGCTACACTTATACGCTGATTTTTCACAATTTTATGAATAAACTATATCCTCAGTATTAATAAAATATTTTTATGCCAAATTAATGAATTGGCTTAACTTGAATATTCTGTTTCTTCTTTTATAAACTTTTTTCAGATCTTCACTTATGCAGCAATATAAATTCATTTTGTGCTGTTTCATTTTGCTAAAAGAGGTTATTCTGTATTATCCCCTGAAAATGTGCATTTACTAGTAATTTTCACTTTATATATGTCTGCTCCACATATTGGCAAGCAGATAGGTTCTCTTACATGTACTGCTGGCTCCTTGTGCTGACAGACAGTGGTCCATGTATGGTTCTCAGTCATGAACCACTGGCCACTTGTGCTGACAGAAGTGCCAGCAGATGTAAGGTAGATACTGTAGCACAGACATTTTCTACAAATTCCAGAGCTGCAGAAATCTGAGGGCCTTACATTGCTCTAGTCTAGGGAGGGCAGAAAATATAAGTAGTCACTGGAAGATTAACTGTTTTTATACAGGCTTGGTAATTCATCTCTTCATTATGCTAATGTTGGCTAATGTTTTGTTCGCCTACTTGGTAAATTTCTTGTAAAAATCAGGGTTGTTTTTGTTTATTTCTTGTAGTGATATAGTCTTATGTTTTGTCTGTACAATAAATGTTAATTAAAGTCTTTTAATGTTTAGGGCTATGTTTTCCACTAGACTACTAAATAGCAAAGGTTTCTTTTGATGATGTCTTAAGTTTTTTTATTATATTGTAACTGTAATATGTACTGTACAATTGCTGTGATGGAACTGAAAAGAAATTGCAAACATTCTACCAAGAATTTCATATCTATGCTGCATGATTTGAATTTGGGTTGTATATTAATTGTGTGGATTGTGACAGTACACAATATACTTGTGTTGTACATACACTACAAAGTTGTTGTTGTCGGACTGAAAAGAATTGGCAGCCACTCACAATTCATAGAATTACATATCCTGCATCGGTTGGGTATAATCAGACTAATTGCACAAGTATTGATTAGGAATGAGTCTTTCACTACGGCTTCATTACTGGCAGGTTATTACAATTTGAAGGCCAGAAGATTTATGGCCAGGATGGCTTGGGATAACAGATGGTTGTTCATCTCTTTCTCAGTTTGCTATCTGATGGGTTTCTACAACTCTGGCAAGATGGTTTTTGCTTGATAAGCAAAATTAATTTTAGTAGGGGTACTTATGTGCAAATAGGAAATGGATGATCTCTATGTGTCTATGACTTAAACCTCTTTTAGAATGATTAAATATTCTTATAAAAGCAGTCCTATGTGTTATATGTGTGTATGTGTGTGTGTCTGTGTTATATATATATATATATATATATATATATATATATATATATATATAAAATCACCAACTTTATTTCTTCCTACAGCCTTCCTATTTCTTAGCAAAATAAGAAATTTCATTTGGTGTTTTTCCCCTCTGCTTGCGACTCTCTGGATATACTAACCCATTTATTGGTTTAATTTCCCATTTACAGCAAAGCCAGGAAATTGGATGAAACAAATGCTCCTGAAATTGGCTTTCTTGTTTTGTTCATTTGTTTTTGTGTTATTCTTTAGGCAGTTGCCACTAAAAAGTGACTTTAATCTTTGATTTGATGTACTGCCATTAATCAGCACTTGTAACAAAAAAAAAGAGTGTATTTGTGCAGAGGGGGAGGGGGGGGGCAAAGTTGAGGTTCTGATGTGTATTGGGTAAAAATATATATGATTTAAAAATTGTTTTGATAGGTGGCAAACACTGCAGATTTAAAATTGATTTTGAGTTGTTATGTTTGTCTTCATATTGTGGAATATGTGTTGAAGAATTGTACAGGAAATTAAAGGGAATCACTAATGGTGAATATAGTAATTCATGACTCTTTTTTTCCAGCCACACCCACACTTTCGAAAACTTGCTACACTGAACAACATTTTAAAGCTCCTAGTCTTCTAGTCTGTTATTATCAGTTAATTCTTTTCTTTTCTTTTCCAGCATGCACCAGGAGTCCCAAAAATTCTTGTTGGCAATCGTCTCCACTTGGCCTACAAACGTCAAGTGAGTGAAAATGAAGCTGAGGCATATGCAGTAAAGAATGGGATGGCATTCTTTGAAGTCAGCCCCCTGTGTGACTTCAACATCATTGAGTCATTTGCTGAGCTATCCAGGGTGGCCTTAAGAAGGAATGGCATGAGCAGGTGCTGGGGGCCTAATAAAGGTAGCAATATAATATTTATGATGTTTTTTTATTAATTTTTTTCAGACAATTGTATCCAGTTATTTATTATTCATTTATATATTAACAACAGCTTTTTAATTTATTTATTATCATTGGTACCCCTTTTTTTCCCCCAAATATGCAGTTTCAGAGGAGTTTTCATTTGTTGTATATATTACAATAATTTTAGTCCATCAGTCGCAGGGGCGTAACAAGGCATACGCACGGATGCACTGTGCGTACAATTTTTTGAGCCAACCATGATATTATTCTCAATAAATTCAGTGTATTTTTCACGGAATATAATCATACCTGGGAATTTTCAAAATCTGTGCGTACAATTTTAAAAGGTCTGGTTACGCCCCTGAGTCGTATGACCTGAAATTTGCATCTTTACATTGCATACATATGCAGGAATTGATTTTTTTCAAACTTCCAAAAACTTTAATTTTCTTTTGACTTAACAGAAGAAAAACAGATGCATATTCGTGTAGATCTGTTTATAATTTCACAATGTGCTTAATTGAAAAAATGGAACACTCAATATGCTTGCTCATTTTTTCTAGTGCTAAGTCTTCAAGAGATGTGCTGTAAGACCATAGTGTCAAACACAACTGTATATGGGATAGAGCAACTCCCACTTCCAACCTCCATCAAGTCCCATCTCAAGTCTTATCTCCAAGCCAACAAGTCACGGAGTAGAATGCAGAGTTTCACCCATAGGGACAAACATAAGAAACCCAAAATACTGAACCCCTCGGACTCACCGCCAGCAAATTGCAGAAAGAGCTGTGTTATCAGCTAGCATACTGTTTTATATGGTCAGAATATTTTCTGTGCTGTCAGTGACAGAAATTATACCAAGTTTGCCAGAGTTATATTTTGGAAACAAAATTTACATGGGCCAAAAATTCTTTGAACAGCTGATGATACTTTCATAATTCATTTTTTTATTTGTCTTCATGGAGCATATTTTTATGTGTAAGCATATCAATTCATTTATCAGTATAGTTTGTTTGATTTTTTAAACAATAGTTTTATTTACTTGATGATTTGTAGTTTACATCTCTAACTGACAGCACAGAACAATAATGACCTTGCAATAGATATGATTGAGCTTGTTTAATGGTGAAAATGGCTGGTAAAATGGTCCCAAAGTCATGTAAATTATGATACATGAACCAAGAAGGAGGCACCAGACTCCATATTAATAAATGAAGTGAGAACGTTTAAAGTCCAGGGAAAACTGACCATATTTGCTACATTTAACCCATGGTGCTATGCTGACTTACCATATATATGGGGTTCCCTGTACAGTATTGTTAGATGTTTTATAGAGCTACAAAAATGGCAATTCTCAATAATGTTGTGGAATATTGTGCACACCTTGACTTGACCTTGATCTTGACCTTGATTCTGTTAAAAGTGGCCACTAGATCTATCAATATGGGTGAATTGTGGCCACAAATTGGGAAGAAAAATGCTAGCTGCAATGTTTTAGTCGATGGCAAGTTTACATGTAATAATTTATTTATGTGAGTTGTATTCAGTTACAATGGGTATCCCCAGTTCTGTTACTTTTTATCCATCCCATAAATTTCTTTTGGGGGATGCAAAAAAATACAGCAAAATTGATGGAATTATTAAAATATACTTCAGATTATATATGAAAAAGCTGTACACATGTTGCTGTATTCATCCATATAATATTCATTGCCATTAGCATTGATGTCCATTCATTAGAGTTAATGTTGATATTGTATTAATTGTTCTTACCCGTCCTACGCCATATATCTATAGCAACTTTGATGAATCTCACAGAATAGTGGTTAACCAGGTGGAGGTCTGACACAGATTGTGTTTGGTGAGCCTGAGAATTGTGTCAGGTATGACAGTTAACGTTATGGCTGTGATTACTCGCCTTGCTATAAGGCCGTAGGCAGCATCCATTTGAATCTGTACCCAGACAGTTCCCATCATTGTTAAACACCAGCCAGAAACTTGGAGCAGATTCTGGTCTTTTTAGTCATGTGTTGTGAGAGATATACGGTATGATGAAATGTTTAGATACGCAAATTGTTTTAAAGAAAACGTGCTGTAAATGTCATGGATAGTATATAAATATTCATTAAAATTTTGTATTTCTACGATTTTTTGGTGGAAAAATTATTTAATGTGATTTTCATTATTATGAGAAGTAGGTCGATTATTGCATGGCAGAATATTGTTACTGTGTTTTGATGCATCAAAATTGTGGTTTTAAGACTACCATTAATTTAAACTATTTAGTACATTACTTGACATCGTTTTCGACTGTTGATGTAGGGTGTATCTAGTTGTTTCTTTATCAGTTTTTTATAACAGATCGAAATCGTGGGAAATGGGAGAACGCAAATTAAATTAAATTAAATACAGGAGCACTGGATTTGCCTTTAAGAACAACGTTGTGACTTTACATCACTTAATTGACAAGCAAACTCCTTTTTAAAGATATCAGGAAAGAGATGAGCGATATTCCAATCAGGCTTTCGTCGGAATCAAATATGTACACGAAACCCAACTTTTTATGATAACAATTGTTTAAGAAATTACGTTTCTGTGCAAATTATTCTGGCTATTGTACTTTTGCAATTGCTTCTGTTAAGGGGAGGAAAGGGCAATTTGTATATAAGTTCAGTATTTGTAAATATTTCATAGTAATGTAAATGTTATTAAAAGTTCTGTACAAATATATCTTTTATACGTGGGACGTCGACGGTAGAGATGATGTAAACAGTGGGCAGGTGACAATTCAACTAATAACAGTAACTACTTCCGTAGGTTCCAATCTCTGGGTGCTTTAAGATAGAGCTTGGATAAAATCGGCTGCATTATAAATTCATTTTGATTTTAAAATTATAAGTGGAAACTTGTTGTTGATGAAATGCTTGCCAACAAAAACAGAAACTAAGCACGTCTTGTTCTTACCAGTATTGTTACCTATATTGCAATATTGTTTATTGAAACCTTGCCAATTTTCGTTGAAGTTGTCATGATATCTGACAGCTCCTACTTGTTGGCCCACGTTTAGCTGTTTAAAAAATAAAAAAAAAATTGAATCAATACATTTTTGTTGTATGTCGTATGTACATTGTGTATTCGACGAATTTTCTATTTAGTCTCAAAAGTGTCGTGTAATACTTTTCATCTACTTTGTTCTTTGCGTTTTATCAAAACACTGAAAGCTTTCCCCGTTTAAGCCTAGATTACATTTACACGGGTGTCGTGCGATGAAATTATCCGTACGATTTTTTTTAGTCGTAAGGAGCTACGAGCTACGCCGAGTCTGTCTACATTACATGGTCTTAAATCCGTGCGACTTCGCGCGGCCACCGTCTACCTCCGCTCAGACGCCGTACGAAAAGGGTATTACGGGCAGTAGGGCCTATTCGTGCACCGCACGGGCATTGCATTTTAAATGTTATCTAGGCTTAAAGCTTATAAGATATATTTAACGTGCATTTGCAAGTTCAAAACGACTTGCAGCATGATTGATGTCGGCATACGTTGCGTATTGTACATGTGCCCTTCTTGTGTTTACCTGTATACGGCAAAGCTTTAGTTGGTTGGTAGGTCACACCATTACATTGACTACGCAAGCACACAGAAGGTCGATAAACAAATCAGTCGTACGTATTGACATATGGGTCGATTATTCATACCTTGTTAAGGAGAAATATGGCCGCCGTGTCATAACATAACCACTACGAAGTCATTGCCTTTGGGGAATTTCTCAAGAGATAGGTTTAATTACGTGAGACAAGAGATGATACAGGCAGCATAACCGCACGCGTTCGAGGTGGATGATCATTACAAAAACATAAGATGTATTGACAGTTGATGGTGTATATATTTGTCTATATTACGGAGACCACTGGCCGTCTCAAGAATGGGCTCCTCGAAAAGTGAAAGCTCAGATGAAGATGACAAGGCTGATAAAAAATCCAAGAAAAAGAAACGGTCTGGTACCAAAGAATACCTAAGCCTGAAATCTGGGAAGGGCGAAGACAGCCCCGAGAAGAAGGTTGAAGAAAAGAGTGCCAACAAGAAAAAAACAAAAACGAAGAAGAAAATCGGTGCTAATGTACATGTAGCTGGACTAAAAGGCTACAAACTAAAATCTCTAAAACCTCTCAAAAGACTTGAAGTCGAAGCGACGACGTCCGATATCCTTTGTTCTCTCGTGATCTCCCTACTCATGCTGGGGTTAGGAGTGACAATAGTATGTGTCGGATACTACGTAACTCACACGTTTGATCTCTACGCAGTCTTAGGTCCTCTAATAACATGTTTGTCAGCTATTTCACTATTCATTACAATAATAATCGTCGTAAAAGGAATATCGGGGGCGCTGAGGAGGAAACTAGTCGGTCCATCCCCACCGGCTTCACAAGCTGACTATAATATATTCAATACGCATATTCCCCACGAAGGAGACCCTCCTAGATATGGCGAGAAGTACCCAACCCAGTTCTACCCGGTGGAAGCGTGTATTTTGCCTGATAGCACACAGCTCTACGGGACACCAGTGGACGAGGTTGACGGCACTGTTGAACCACCGCTGATAACTTATGTGGCTGGTCACACCAGTGACGGAGCGGCAATATTTACCGTCCCTTTACCGCAGGGAAAGACGACTAGCTAGCAGCAAGGAATCAAAATGAACATGCCTCACAAGGCAAAATCGATATTGCATTGTCTATTTTATCTTTTGCTTGGATACAAAAATACAAAATTGACATGGCTCATGTCGATTGGGCCTCCATTTTTTTTAATTACTGATGTTTTAAGGGATTATTTTTAAAGTTTCGTAATAGGTGCTGCGTATATGTTTGTTTTCCTTTTTATTAAATCATTTCTCATGCCATACACTATGCTTTGATATGAAAAATATTTTATGCAAAATTATTTTGCTGGAAGGGTAATGGGTTTGACTAAACTTAAGATCTAACAAAGTTATTGGATCCTAAACGTCGATAGTGATACTGTGATATTCAATTTTAAAAACTTCGAGGATGTCTTAGACCATGTTTTCATTTCTTTTTTTACCAAACTTTTACTTATAATATTATTCGGAAATGCATGGTGTCCAGGAATAAGTTGATATGTTTTCGGACTTGTTCCAAGGTATTAGTGAATATGTCCCGCCTGTGTGTCGTAATTTGGGTGGAATACCTTTACTCTCGGTTGCAGACTAGGGCCTAACGACCCTTAGGGTACAGATAATTCAAATAATCTACGCAGATTTTAGTGCTACACTGTATCAGGGCTTTTCTTTAACTCTGTCTCTTGAGTGCATAGAAGTTAAGTAAAGAAAAAACAATGGGCTGCAGTGAATAGAAAAATGTCAAAATTGAAGAAGCTGTGAAAAAGATGAAATATAGTAAAGTCCAAGATGGTTAATCCCCAAATGAAAGTACGTTGAGTAGATAGGCGAGCCCTGACATTCTGTCGTTTGCGTATGTATAAACACAGAGTACACTTAAATTAATAAGTGCACGGTTTAACTACACCTCTTTTTTACTTTTGTCCCACGTGTTCTCATAAAATATGACCCAGGTGCTATGCTATTGAGCCTTTTTAATGAAACTTCCGTGTGCATTTGGTGAACCACATAATTTCGAGTGCTCTTTATAAGACAAAATATTAGGACTCGTGCACTTACCACTCAACGTTCACTTTCTGCTTGGGAGTTCATACACCCTCCTGAAAGTCCATTGGAGTCCACCCTGGATTTGGGAGTCCACTAGAAACTAACTTGTAATATCACTAGGGTAACTATGGATGCGGCAACGGTATAGGCCCCTCCTAATAGGCCTAGAGATGCCAGTAACAGATCTGTCTGAAACTCAGGATGAATTCACTCTGGGAAATTTTAAATGGAACTGAACCCAACATGTTTCATCTTCAGTGAGCTAGTCAGCATTACATGTCATACTTAATTGACTCTGTGCAGTGGTATTTATAAATTGTGCCATTATTATAGGCCTATGTGTCTCTTCATTATTGTATAAACCAGTAAATAAATTTTGTGTTTGTTCACTGTTCTACTTAGTAGATCTACGACTGAAAAAAATCTATATTTAACACTCGTTCTCAATATATAGGCCCAATAGAAGGAAACAGAAAAGTGAAAGTGAAGTTAGGCCCTACAGATATAGTCGTGAATTCTACTTTTTCTAAATCTCTGGTGATAAAAAGTGATAAATCTGGTTTCTTAAAAATAAATAACTGAACATTTTAAAATCCGTGCCTTGCTTGTACGGGGGTGGAGTAACGAAGGTTTACCCTATTAAGGCGAAATATTTAGCCTAACAAAAGTTTTAAAAACAACAATCTTTTTGGATAATATTGGCACGTTATTAATACTAACAAAAATTAGACTGTGATAAAGGGATATTACGAGATGCACGTTTATTTTTACTGACATTTTGTCCTCAACCTATTTTTTCACAATGCCTGGTAACAAATGTTTTGCAAATTACTTTCTTTGAGAATGCAGTTTTGCCGTGTTTCGCCTAAAACATTTGACTGTATCCTGTCACCATATTATCTTGCTGATAACAGATGAAATTCAATTGAGGATTGTAGTAATGGTTTAAGTATTACCTCAAACAACTAAAAACAATGACGTGCGCCAAAAGAAATACAGATTTTTTTTCATTTTTTAAATCCTGCGACACCATGAAAGTAGCCACAAGCTATTAATTGAGGTGTTTGAAATAAACATTCAAGACATTTTCTGAAACATTAAATGCCATACTCGCTTCCTGAGAAGTTGCAGATTCTTTACTGTAGTAAATATGAACAAGATCGACTGGGGAATGTGAGATGGCGCTAAGAGCGAAAGTAATGAAGGTTTAAAGTGAAGTTTTTTTTGTGTGTGAGAACAGATAAATCTAGGAATAATTATTTTTTAAAGTTTTAGACTGATGTTTGTTTAGTTCCACTTGGACAAAAGTTCTTCCACTCGCTTACTTTTAATGAAATTTTTAAAGAAATGTTAAATGGGATAGGCCTATATATTGAGAATGAGTGTAAACGTTAGGGCCTATTCGTAAGCACCGTGACCTCAATCACAAAGTTCAATAAAATTTAGGGGTTGCTTTCAAAATCTGTAAAATGGGCTTTTTACCATAAGATGAAACAATCAAGTGTCGGAAGTGTTATGTTGATTAGGCTGTAGTTTACAACGAACAAGTCAAAATGATGATTGTGTCGAACCTCTGTCACAATCATGAATGCGTGATCCGTTTATGAATGGGATTGTGTTTGTTGAGAACGTCATTCCGCGAAGCATGTGGGCAATCACGTGACCAGAAGTGACTGGAATCATAAACACAGGACGGGACGATGGATAATGGAGCCCAAACGAACAGATCCAGATGGCGAAAATTTTGTCGAAATGAGTTACTGCAACCGCTCCAACAGCGTTCAACCTGTACAGTAGATACGGTGAAGACACTTGACACCAGTTGATGTCTAGTTTTAGCATACTTTTTTGCGATTGACGAAATATGAAGCCAGATCAAGGTCAGTAATGGTAAAATTACCTTGTTTGGGTTCGGTCGACAAGGGGGTCATTGAGTAGACTGATTTATGAAAACTTTGTTGAGATTAAAAGCATATTATACTTATTAAGTGTCTCTTTTTATCAAAAATATGTAAAAGATGGTTATTTATTGCAAGATATTTTGTTGTCGAGACATATTTTTAACCGAACTCGCCCAACGACGACCTTGTGTGCCACGAATAACATCGGGATAACAAGGGCAAAACAGTCTTGGTGTGCCTTTTTTCCAAAGAATTCAACAACAGTCTTTTGTAATTGTGAAAATGAATCACTCTTTTTCAAGAATTTCGCTTCAAAGATACAGTATATGTTAAGGAATCGTTGATTGGAACTCGTAAATTACTGCATCCGTCAAACAGCCCCGCATCAGCTGATCGCGTTGATTATCCATGTCGGGGCACGTTAGCCGCTCGTTTGCTCAACGGTACAATGGATTTCGTACAGCTGTGGCCCCAATGCTGATGTAACTAAATGGCAACGTAGAAAAATTGATCAGGACAAGTAAGGGAAGCCAAGTAGAAGTCTCAGGCTATGAAATGAGTAACTTGTATTAGATTAATCAGTTTTACAGAGATGCTCAGAGGTTTGGAGGACTGGTTGTGCAGTATATGGTGGTTATTTTTCTTTCCGCTAGCCAACAAAAAGGGATTAATTCAACTAGAAATTAAACAATTCGCCCGTGCCTGTCCTGCCTTTGATCTGCTTTATCCAAATAAAGGCTAGCATGCTCACAAAGCTGGCTGTTTATTCCTGTATATTGGCAACATTGTGGATTTTTCAAGGGTGACGGGTTGGGGTGTAATGTAGCTGGATATTTATATTGTTTATATGTCGAAATTTGAGTACAGGTGTTGGTGTTTATTTTTTTCTGCTCTGGCCAGGTGATATGACTGGTTCATGTGAGACCATTAGTTATAAAAGCCTGAATCCATTACCTTTATGAAAATCATCACGGTAATACATTCTTGGTTATTTATGTTATACCAACACGGGGTACAGAATAGATAAAAGGATCATATATGATAGGGCTACTGCTGTGAAGATAGGTGGCTTTTCACCTGATATATCATCAGGTGAAATGGGAAAAGAGGTCTCGCCAGATGTTTTTCACCTTGAATATTCATTTGCATTCCATGCCCAGATAGAGTGATAACATTTAGCAAGCTGAGATAAATGGCAATGAAGACAGGAGTATTTCTGCCCCTAGACTGGAATTGTTTGCCCATACTTACTGATTCATGCACCCTTTTTAATGAATTTCTGATAGGCCCAAATCCTCTAGGCTTTTAGTTGATCTATAGCAATATTGATTATACATTCATGTTGTTTGGTACATGTATACTTCACCTTTATAAAATCTCTGTATTATTCAGACTCATGTTCTGGTAGCCATAACACAGTATCTTGAAGAAGCTGAAATATATGAATAAAAAATGAGTAGACACTCTCATGTCCACAGAAACTGGCTCTCATGTTTAAGACCCCATTCATCGATAAACCCCATCTTTGTCTCTCACTGAAAACATCAAGTAGCATGTACGGAAAAGCTGGTAATTATACAAGGACGTTGGAAATGATGAGGCGTGTCATTCAGTTAAGCTGATTGCAGTCAGGGACAGTCCTGGCAGAGTTGGATTGATCTACATAGACCACTGGTGTCTATGGGAATGGAGTCTTAGAACAAACACAGTAATGCAATATGGAAACTGTGCAATTACATTAGGATTTTCACAATTCCTTTATGAAATAGGGTAATATCAAATTATGTTGGTTTTATATTAACATACATATGTGTTACTGATGTCCCCATGATACTTTTCATATGGATTATGCATAATTGGTTTATTTCTGGACAAATGAGACATTACACTTCTATTTTGTAGCTTAAGTGTTTCTGTTATGGCTTGGGAGTGGATGATGAATCACAGCACGTTATTGGGAAATAGACAATTTTGTATCTAAATTGTCAATCTCCAAAATGACACCTAATGGTTGTTCTGTAGCTATCTATAAATAAAGTTATTTATACATGTCCAAGGCCTTGATCTCACTTGATGAGGTCATGATGACAACAAGGATATAAAGTTTATAAAGATTATTTAGTATACGCTTGAGAATAAATGTCTATATTATTATTTAATTTTCATCTTTTCATTTATTTACTGAATTTGAAATAATAACAGAGGTGATGTTGCTTAAGAATGAAGATTTCTGCTGACCTTAACTAGTTTATGTCAGATATGAAATAATAATAAAGACATTTTTGATTTTATTGCTAGGTCTGTCTCAGGATATGGAAGAAGAAGAAGAAGAGTTGGATCCATGGGAGTTGTTCTTAGAATTAGGAATGTTGATAATAGAAAGTCGTATGCCGGAGTTTTCTGCCAAGGGCCGAGTAGAGGGCCCCCATTGTCTACTTGTGACATCAAGGGGGACAAACCATGAGTGTGACAAGGGAAATAAACAGGTGGGGTTTTAACAATCCTTTTTCACTCAAATTTTTTTTTTGGGTAAATAGAGCTTTGAAAGTGATACTTTGTTTCATTGACTAATATAGGAAACAATGTGTGCAATGGCAAAATTGACCAGTCTAATTACTTTATGTATACAAGTGACTTGATTCTGATAACTGAAACATGAAATCACAGTATTTTTTCCTTCTTGCCTCAAAATTGGCAGCAGAGCAGGTGGATATGTTAGCCAAGTAGTTGTTTTTAAACCAAGAAATACCCATTTTCCAGATGGTACCAGCAAGTCAACAATATTATTTCTACCTAGCGAGCAGGTGTGAATACAATGTGGGTTGTGTTGACAGTATCAGTTGCCCTTGAAGGTTCCTGACATCTTGTGTATTTTTTCTCCTTCAGTGTAATATGGTGTCTGAGTTGCGGGATCAGATGTTGATGCTGTGGAAGAACGGCATCCCGATGTGTATTGAGGTGTTGGTGTATCCAGACTGTCAGCATGTGGCTAAGCTATACGAAGCCCAACTTAGCCCAGCAGAGGGCACCTGTGTGATGCTAGAGGAATGGACCATACAGGTCTCTCCTAAGAGGTGAGGTTATGGGTCACTTTGTATAAAGTAAGAGGTCATTGCATATGGCCATAGGTCACTGTACATGAGATATGGTGTAAGACCCAAGCTAGCAAAGTAAAATTTTTGTCAAGTTCTTAAACTATTCTATTTTTGCTGAGTAAAGTATCAAAAAAAGATGCAGTGTATTGACTATATTTACCATTTAAGTTTTATTTAGTTAAAATTTATGGTTTGGCTGAAATTATCAGGCTGTCTGTCTAATTTAGAAATAAATTTTATGCTACAAGCTCTTTACATGGTAGATTTGTGAATCAATAGTGATGTGTTAATGGCAATGTTAGGTCAGTTGTATAGATTGTGCTGTTTGCACAGGGTGTGTCTTTATGGCAGGGGTTGTCAAGTCTGTATTTTAAGGGGTTATTTTAAGGAGTTATTTATTTATTTATTTATTTATGGTTTACCTCTTCTGTTTGGGCTAATTTTTATTGACTTAGAGTTGTGTCTGACTTGCTAGACTTCTGTCAAGGCAATACAATAAAATCTGTGCATAAACACAGATTTTTACATCCACATTTGAAAGCAAATATTAATGTATTAATTTGAAAAGTAATGATTCACATATTAGCTATAACATTTTTGAAACTTGCATTGTGTTTAAACCAGGAGGTCATCTGAAGAGTTATTTCAGAAAGTCACAATTTTGAATAACTAGTTTGACTTCTAAATGTCAGAAATCCTCATTGAAATTCCATGCACAATTGTAAAACTTGAACTCAATTTGAAAGCCACAGGAGAATAAATAACATTTCACTCATGTGTCTTGTAATCTGGAAAACAGCTGAAGGGACTTAGTCATACATGGATTTAGCATTGCTTGCATTTTAGAGATAAGCAAAACATGTACATGTTTCTAAGTGCTATTGAAAATTTTATTTTCCAATAATTACATTTTCTAAGAACTGTTTACTACAGACAGGAATGATCATATTAATATTCATCACACTTGTGCCTGCAGTACATCCGAACAGTGCATGTAATCATGTCAGTGCCTACAAAACTTGCATGGATTTTGTTTTCATTAACTGCTTTTAGAAGCTTTGGGGTAAGTCATGCTCCTTGGGGATTCTTGATTACTATATACCTCTGTTAAGTTTCATTTCAGCTCAAGGAAATGTACTTCTAAAGTTCTGTTTACAGGGTGAGGAACAATGAGAGGGCCAAAAGTAAAGTTTCTAAACTTTTCTACAAAACATGTGAAACATGTCCAAGAATATTTGTGTGAAAATTGCTTCTGATACACTGGTGACTTTTTCTTGCAAAATACAGTTCCACAATCTTTGTCCTCTCTTCCAACAAAAAATGCTTGTAGTAGTACATCTTGGTAGCAGATAAAACTTACTGGTCTGCTTTGTAACTCACCTGAAAAAGAAAAAATAATTATTTCTCTAGAAAATCTGAGTCTTTATTTTTGTCCCTCTTATTGTTCCCCACCCTATATCTAATGTGACAGGGAGCTATCTAATATTGTTCAAGTGTTGAGGGGTGGGGGGGGGGGGGGGGGGTCCTTAGTCCTTAAACCAAATGGTTGCATTGATGGGTTTTCATATCTGTCTATATAATACAGCATTCCAGGATGTCGTGTAGTAACAAAATCTACTAAAAGCTAAGATATAAATTCTCATACTTCAGTCTGATGTCATTTTGGCCTACGTGTCATCAATCAGGAGTCATTTTTCAACAATAGCATGTAAATGAGACCACAGGCACATTTCATGACATTTACCTGATAAATCCATACTGCTTTTCTCTTATTAACCTATGGTATTCAAGCTACATAAGCTCACTAATAAGTTCCCAGAAGGGGAAAAATGTATTGTGAAAAATTTCAAGGCAAGAACTGAAATTACTGAAAATCCAGTCTTCTGATGGTAGTTTGAATCTAAATAAGATATGCTACACATAAATTAACATAATAGCACAGACTAAATGACACAATATACATGAAGTACAGGGAATGTAATTTCATCCTGTCTTGTGAATTGGCACCAGAACAATAGTTAGTATGGAGATTACAATCTTGAACTAGGGTGCACATGATTTCTCTGTATGCTGAAGTCCATATCACATGTCACATATGCTTGACCCTTTGACCATTGCCAGGTAATCACAGGTACATGTAATATACACCTGTTAGAAGATATTGGTACTAACAGGTATGCAGAAAACTCTAAGAAAATTTTGTTTAATACATCTGAGAAAGCAACACGTGTAGAAACACATGCAAAAAGAATGCCATGATGATCATGTGTGTAGTTGATGAATTGGTAAATACATGCAATGAACATCTGCCCAAAAGATTATCATTTGCTGATATTACACATTACTGTTACACTTTTATCTCTGTTAGTGAGGGGAGGGGGGTACACTTAAAATTACAACAATTTTTACACCAACTGTGATTAATATTATTAATGTTCAGGCTTACTTTAGCAAAGTAGAGTCTTACCAAAAGCTAAAGAGATTTCAAATATTTTTCCTTTTTTTTTTTTTTAGGAATTTGCCCCAGCATACACCCTGAGCTTCAGAGCTAACTTGACACTAACCTTTTCACTGTAGCCTATCTCCATCGCGCCAAGTAACCACTGACGAAANCAGTGAAAAGGTTAGTGTCAAGTTAGCTCTGAAGCTCAGGGTGCCAGCATATGGCACTTAAAATCTTTTCATCTGTAAGAGAAGAGTATACACATATGTTTATGATATGCAGAAAACTCACCTGCTGTGATGTTTTTTTTTTTTATGTGGAAGTCTTAAAAGGCCTGGCATTTTAAAAATGGGGCATGTGCTGTCATGTGTTATTGGCACATATTAAACATGATACACCTGATGGATGAAGTGTTGTCATATGGGTAATTTATACAGCTTTATGTTGCACAATGATGGCGGACAAGAGAGAGAGAAAGAGAATGTTGAGTTCGAGGGACATATTGCAGTGCTTGAGTGGGCAATGTTGGATAGTGGAGTAGTTAAGAATGTACACCATTGGATAATATGTCTGAAGCAATGTTGCATAATTTACCTGATAAAGACCTGGAAAATTCACAGGTTCAGCACATGCAGGTTTTTACACCTGAGCAGGATGGATGGGGAGATGCATAATCTGATAATGTTTTCACTGTTTTTATGATATGTTATGTAATACTCAAGGGCATAACATGGATAATTGCATGAAAAAGGCATATTTAACATTTTGTTATTTCAAGGACAGAGTCATTTTATGGTTTCCTCACCACATATCAATCCTACAATTTAAAGCGTCACATAAACCAAATTACCTTTGTGACATGAAATGATTTTGACATGTATGTATGAGGAAGACATGAGTAGATCAATGAAGTTGGATTTTCATTTTGCAAACATTCCTGGTACGCCATTTGATAAATTTTTTAATGTTAAAACGAGTACCTGTTTGGGGATTCTTAAAACATTTGCATTTTTAAAATAGAAAACTGATTGGTTTATAATTTGCATTGGTTTGCTGAGTATGGACCAACTTCCACCTCCTGGTGTCCAGAGATGAATATATTTAGAAGTTATGATTATCATCATTCAGGGGTTAAAGTCCATTTCTCTTTGATAGTGGGGAGATTTTATAGCATGACTTATGCAAGGTCAGCTTTTGCCATGAATTTACCAACTAGGCTTTCTTTTGCTTTTGAGCATAAAGATTGTGAATAATGCCCCAGGCTGAAAGCATCATTGTATAAAATGAAAATAAAAATAATATCACATATTTATGGGGTTGCTTTTAACTTGGATAGAGGTTTGTGATAAGTATTCAGGTATACAACAGGTGTGTATCTATTCTGACATCTTTGTGTGTACATAGTTAATGAGATAAGTTGGAAGAAGAGGTAGGAACTGGCAAGGATTTCATGATTAGTAACATAAAGATGCACTTATATAAATTGGGGAGCCTTTCTTTATAAGTCACTTGATAAAGTTAGCTGCTGTAGGCAGCAACAGTCCTATACTTTTCACCCAAGTTATGCAAGTCATTTTTCAGTGGTGGGGATGGCAGAGCTAGGGCAGGAGAAGGCTAGGAGTGCATTTGCTGCCAAAAAGTAGTGAGCCAATCTTAATCAAATAAACTGTAAATAGGGTTTTATCTGAAAAGGATTGGTACAACCTGGATGTAAACACACCAAGTTAAAAACAACCTCTTTTAAAATTATTTGCTTTTCCCAAAGTTAAGATTTCATGGGCGGAGTCAGAATTTCATTATGAAATTTTTACTCTGGGAGACAGATTTTCGTGGGAGTCATGTTACACCAGCACAGTGTATTAATACATTATGCACAGCCCAGGTCATATCTGAGAAGGGTCAGACCAACTTTTATGTAAACACACCAAATTTCAAACCAGCCTATTTGATTGATTTGCATAACCAGCATTCGAAACTAACATATGCAATTTATGACCAAACTATATAATTGTTGGAAGAGGTCAGTGCCAGTACATCTCTCTCCTTGTCCCAGCACACCTATGTTGACTTGATGTTTAATTAAGTCACCTTTCACCTGTGGCTCACCTAGTGACAAGGCAACATTGGTCTTACTTGTCTTTGTCTTACTTCTGTACCAGGTCAATAGGCTATAATGAGATATATATAGGGCCTGCAGCCTGTTCACAGCGTGTACAGTATGTTATTTGCGAGGTGAATTGGGGACAACATTGAGATCAGGTTTACAAAAGTAGACACATGCTGTAATATATCACTGCATAGAGCAGTATTAAATTTCAATTTATTTGTTGTCATTATTGACATGTTCTTGATTTAATGATTTTTTTATTTGTTCTTTTTAAAGATTCTGTTTTTTATATCTGTACCTAAGATACCTTACAGTTCCCCCAAATGATGTAGAGATGGTTCACAAAGAATTCCCTTATGATGAACAAAATATTTAAAATAAATTCACCATATCGGCAAAAATGATAAAATTTGATAATGAAACAGAAATTGTCCAACTGTCTAAGAAGGATAATGAACCTTCGTTGATTTCTTTCTTCCCGTGGTTAAATTTCATTCACGTCAGTGATGATGGCATTAAGAGCAAGGCTGTGGTTGTTCTTGCTATCTAAGTGGTGATAATGCACATATCATGCTAAGGTGATGATGATAATGTCACATAGAGATTTCTCACTTTTAAACCACAAAGGAAATGAATTTTAAATCCTGGCCGATCAGCTGAATATATATAGTATTAATTACTCAGCTGTCTTTTTTCTCCACTTTCTTGGAGGGTGAGAGCTAGTGGTGAATCAGTATGAATCATTGGATCCTTGTCTCTTGCTTTGTTGGCTTGTTATACAAAGAGATTTGATCTTTATTCTGAGTGAGAACTAAGGGTTTGGTAAGATTTATAGGGATTCTGTATATTTTCAAAGGAAGATGTTTGATTTTATCTTTTGTAAGAAGCCTACAGCAGTTGATAAGACATTGGAAGTTTGAAAGTCATTTGGTAAGGAAGTTTGAAAGTCATTTGGTAAGGATTAGATTGAAATTGATAAAGTGAATAGATGGACATTATATTTAAGTGTTATTGGCATGGCAGGACTCTCATATTGGACTTAACCCTCATGATTGATTACCCTGTGCTGATTTTAAGTGGACTAGAAAGGCTTCTGGCAGTAATAGTTTTAGATATATGCAGTATGTAAAACGGTATGTATTGAACACATCTATACTGAGTAAGTGTCATATACATCTGCGTGTTGTCACAAGCAGCCTTATTTTGTCTGTCTTTGTATGTGTGCATACTTGTGTCTGTCTGTCTGTCCGTCCGTCTGTCTGTCTGTGTCTCAGTGTCTGATGCATGCCTGTGTCTCTCTGCCTTTGTGTTTGTCTGTCTGTTTGTTAGTTAGTGTGAAAAAAATTGCCATAATATGCTGTGTTGTTATAGATTGATATTCTAAGAAGAAAAAAGTTAATATATTTTTTTCCTTACAGAATGCTGGACAGCCATTGTGGTTCGAGATCTTTGGTCCAAGCAACGCGTTCCCACCTCCATTTCTCCCAGCTTAGTGCTTGGCTCAATGTCAGTAGAGGAACACAGCCTGCTAATGTAGTGTACAGGTAGGTATTGGGGCTTTACTTTGAAGATAGGCTGAATCTTCTTGGTAAGACTCTTTCCTGTGGGCCATCTGCCATTCTCTCCACTGGGCAAGGCATACTGTTAACTTGGGGGGGGGGGGGGGGTTAGGGCAATACCCTTAATGCTGATGGACTATAAAGAAGGACATACCTGGAAATTTGTACAAGAAACGCAGGCTGTAATCATATGGATAAGTGAGTAAGATATTGGTTTCATAGGGGAATGTCCTCCTGAGACTTAAGATTTTTACTCCTGGGGAAATATGCTCCTGTCTAAGATGCTGGGGAACTTTTTATCTCTATGCTATTTCTGTTGGCATAGTCTATAGACTAAAGTATGCAGTTTCTGCATTAGTGATGAAAGATACACAGTTGTCTTGCAGGACCCTATGATACATATGTGACCATAAATATAGATGTCTGCAAAAAGAAAATCTGTCTGGATGATTTTCAAATTAGATGTAAAACTTTATTTTGTATGTGATTATGACTCCTCTAAGTACCACATTCCCAGATAGTACTGGTATTTTCCCAACTAACACTCACCTTCACCTAGCCATTTTGTTATCTATTTATTATGCTTGGTATTTTGGGAAGTCTGTCTTAGGCACTACACCGGCCTGCCCAAACTGGAGATAAATTTTCCAGGTAACATCACATTTTATGTTAAACCTGATCTCCGATAGAAATTTTTGCCCTTGAAAATAATGTAGTTAGACAATAGCAGGCAGCAGCTAAATGGAGCAATCCAAGGTGAAAACAAATGATTACAATAAAACATGCCATTGGTTCCTCCAATTTTTATTTACCTTAAATGAGAACTTCAAATCAATCGCTGTTTCAGTTATAAGCTACACTTAGAACATTGCAGTTGCTTTCAGTAATGAATGTGAAATTATCATCTTGAAGTGAGCAGCTGATAAAGAGGAGAAATTGATTGTATTCCCTGTTTTAGAATTCTTGTGGCACACCATACTGTA